TGGCAACTATAGATGAAAAGAATTTGGTGGCAAAAAGACACTTGAGGCCAGAAAAACAGGTTGGAGACCTGAACTAGGGTGGTGGCCCTAGAAATGGAGATGAGTGGAGATAGATTTTGAGAACAATGAGGAAGTAAGTTCAATAGGTGGTGGTGAGGGAGAAGTGGTTGTCAAAAATGACTAGAGTTTCAAGCATGAGTTACTGGGAGAATGGTGATGCTATTCAAAGAAATCAGGAAGTCAAAAAAAGGAACGGTTTGTGTGAGGCAAGACGTTGAGCTCAGTTCTTTACCTGTTAGGCATATAAATGGCTATACTCAAGGGGGAACTAACTAATTTTATAGCACTTACAAGAACTGGAGCCTAACAGAAGATTGTGGTTATAGCTGGACTGGCTTTATACTGTCTCTTTGCAATATAAACGTAGAGGGGAAAATGAAAAATGCAGTCAGTATTTTAATTCGCTGTAGTTTCTCTCTAGACAAATCTAGCAGGAATCTGTAGCTTTTCTGTGGTCCATATATCACAAAGATAGCTCTTTTAAAGTGACGTATATTTATTAAACGATTTGTATGTGTTATTTATTATGCTAAATTGTATGTCAGTTAATCCTGGCAACAGCACTTAGATATTATTATCTGGATTTTCATAAGAGAAATCAAGGTACAAAGATGTTAAGTAACTTTTCCAAGTTCAAATAGGAAGTGATGGAATGACATTTGAAACCAGGTTCTGTGCGGTTTCAAAGTCCTTGTTTCATCTACTCTATATAACTAAAGTATTTATGTGCCTTTCCTCCCTTTTCCTTTTCACAGAATGAAAAGTGAATAGTGCCTTTTAGCATGGACTATTGGTCTTTACTCTATGATTGTATCCAGAGGTTCATTAATGCCGTTTTAGGAGATCTGTCTTAGGAAAGGCTACTGCTCAGGGGGCTCTCCCTTTTTATTTTCCTTCCAGTTTTATTGAGATATAATTGACATACATCACTGAATAAGTTTAAGGTATACAGCAAAATGGTTTGACCTCCATATATTGTGGTAATGTTTAGTTAGCGTCCATCATATCCTATAGATAAAAAAGAAAGAAAAAAAAGAAACAAAATTTTCCTTGTGATGAGAACTTTTTAGATTTACTCTCAACCACTTTTCTATATATCATACAGCAGTGTTAACTGTAGTTATCATGCTGTACATTACATTACTTATCTTGTAACTGGAAGTTTGTACCTTTTTAAAAATTTTTGTTTATTTTTTTAATTGAAGTATAGTTGATTTACAATGTTGTGTTTTAGGTGTACAGCAAAGTTATTCAGTTATATATATATATATATATATATTCAGTTTTTATATATATACAAAACTTTTATTTTTCAGGTTATTCTCCCATATAGGTTATTACAAAATATTGAGTATAGTTCCCTGTGCTATACAGTAGGTCCTTGTTTTTTATCTACTTTGTATATAGTAGTGTGTGTATGTTACTCCTAAATTCCTGATTTATCCCTCTCTTCCCCCTTTCCCCTTTGGTAACTGTAAGTTTGATATTCTATGTCTGTTTCTGTTTTGTAAATAAGTTCATTTGTATCATTTTTTTAGATTCCACATATAAGTGATATCATATGATATTTGTCTTTGTCTGACTTACTTCACTTAGTATGATAATCTCTAAATGCATCCATGTTGCTGAAAATGACATTATTTCATCCTTTTTGTGGCTAATATTCCATTGTATGTATATATACCACAACTTCTTTAACCTTTCATCTATCGATGGACATTTAGGTTGTAGAAGTTTGTACCTTTTGACAACCTTCCTCCAATTCCTCCTCCCCTGAACCGCCCCCCGACCCATAACCACAAATCTGATCTCTTTTTCTATGAGTTTAGTGTTTTGTTTTTCAAGATTCTTCATTTAAGTGAGATCATATAGTATTTGTCTTTTTCTGTCTGACTTATTTCACTTAGCATAATGCCCTCAAGGTCCATCCATGCTGTTGTAGATGGCAGCGTTCCCTCAGTTTTTAATGGCTGAATAATATTCTTTTGTATGTATATACTGTAACTTCTTTATCCGTGCACTTATGGACAGACACTTAGGTTTTATCCATGTCTCAGCTATTGTAAATAATGCTGCTATGAACATGACGATGCAGATATCTTCTTGAGTTAGTGCTTTTGTTTCCTTTGGATATATTCCAAGAAATGGAATAACTGGATTGTATTGTAGTTCTATTTTTAATTTTTTGAGGATCCTCCAAACTGTTTTCCTTGTGTCTGTACTTGTTTACTATCTCACCGACAATGCACAAGGGTTCCCTTTTCTTCACATCCTCACCAACATTTTTACCTCTTATCTTTTGGATGATGGCTACTTTAACAGGCATAAGGTGATATCATATTGTGGTTTTAATTTGCATTTCCCTAATGACTAGTGATGTTGAACATCTTTTCATGTACCTATTGGCCTTTTGTATATCTTTTTTTGGAAAAATGTCTATTCAGGTCTTTTGCCCATCTTTTAATTGGATTATTTAGTTTTTTCATTATGGTTTTTTTGTTTTGGGGGAGATTTTTGGCTGTTGGGTTGTATGAGTTCTTCATATATTTTGGATAATAACCCCTTATCAGATATCTGGTTTGCAAATATTTTTTTCCCATTCCATGGTTGCCTTTTTACTTTGTTGATTGTTTCTTTTACTATGAAGAAGCTTTTTAGTTTTATGTCATCCAACTTGTTTATTTTTGCTTTTGGTGACATATCCAAAAAATCATTGCCAAGACCCATGTCAAGGAACTTTTTTCCTATGTTTTCTTCTAGGAGTTGCATGGTTCAGGTCCCATGTTTAAGTCTTCAATTCATTTTCAGTTAATTTTTGTAAGTGGTGTAAGATAGGAGTCTATTTTCATTATTTTACATGTGAATATCCAATTTTACCAACACCATTTATCAAACAGACTCTTTTCTCCACTGAGGCACTCTCTTTCAACTACTATAATGGGCAACTACTTTCCCCATTGGAATGATAATTCCTGTCCCTTACTTAAGACTGAGAGCACTATTAAGTAACAAAATTAATTTAACTGTAATACCACAACTTAAGAAGAGCAGATATAATAGTTTTAAATGTAGCTATAGTAAATACTGTCATTAAAAAATAATAAAGAGCTAGATAAGTTCCTCTGAAACCACTTTATTTTTTTTTTATTTTTATTGGAGTATAGTTGATTTACTATGTTGTGTTAGTTTCTGCTGTACAGCAAAGTGAATCAGTTATACATAAACATATATCCACTCTTTTTTAGATTCTTTTCCCATATAGGTATTACAGGGTATTGAGTAGAGTTCCCTGTGTTACACAGTAGGTCCTTATTAGTTATCTGTTTTGTATATAGTACTGTGTATATGTCAATCCCAATCTCAGTTTATCACCCCTCTCTTTCCCCCTGATAACCATAAGTTTGTTTTTTACATCTGTGACTCTATTTCTGTTTTGTAAATAACAAAACATTTGTTATTGGGGGGGATTGTTTCATTTGTACCATTTTTTTAGATTCCACATATAAGCGATATCATATGATATTTGTCATTCTCTGTCTGACTTATTTCACTCAGTATGACAATCTCTAGTTCCATCCATGTTGCTGCAAATGGCATTATTTTGTCCTTTTTTATGGCTGGGTAATATTCCATTGTATATATGTACCACATCTTTATCCATTCCTCTGTTGATGGACATTTAGGTTGCTTCCATGTCCTGGCTATTGTAAATAGTGCTGCACTGAACATAGGGATGCATGTATTTTTTTTGAATTATGTGAAACCAGTTTAAATTTAGACAAATAGCAGAGAATGACCTTAACAGCAAGTCTGAGCATTCAAGTATGGAGGTCTTTCTCTACATAAGGGAAGATAGAGGATGCCTAGTCTTGGAAATTAACGTTATGGTTGAATGCTTCCCCAGAGTGTAATGAGCAGAGAACCAAGAAATACACGCCTGTGCTACATTTGTTACATGCACGGCCTGGCACTTGATGAGTGTTCCATGAATGTAAGTCCCTTTCCCTTTTGCATTTTACAAAATATTTCCACACATCTCATTTTGTTTACTCTATATATTGAAAAGAAAATCCCAAGGAATAAACTGTTATCATTCTCATTGTACCAGTACGTAAGAATCTTTACATGCTGAAGCTGAAAATGACTAGACGATTCTGCAGTTTGGTGTGTCTAGCCTCAATGTTCTGGGTTTGCACTCTCCCTGTAGGAATTGATCATGTGTTTCTCTGGCCATTGAGTTGTGATAAGAAAGATTTTCCTGCTTGGAGTCCAAACTGAGCATGGATCCCACATAAATAAAGACCCATGACACTTTTTTTGGGGGGTTGGTTTTGTTTGTTTGTTTGTTTGTTTTTGGACACACCACACGGCTGTGGGATCTTAGTTCCCTGACCAGGGATCAAATTCGTGCCCGCTGCAATGGAAGCACAGAGTCCTAACCACTGGACCACCAGGGAATCCCCCCATGACACTTTTTGCCATTGAACTGAGCTGAGGACCCTACTGACTGTTAATCCCTTTATCCCAGGTTTGAGTGGGTGACATTTTGTATTACAAAGGTATACATACCGGTGCTTAATTTGAGAGAGTTTCAAAGAAAGTCTCATGGAAAGTCTCAGACATGAGGTGGAGTTTCTAGACCTGACATCATTGTATTAACATAAGTGAAAAAGAGCTTTGAAGACATGAAGAAAGCAAAAGCATGACACGACCATATCGCACAAAAGAGATGGGTCTGCCAACAGCATGAAGAGAAACTGGAAGGAGACAAATTTAACTAGATTTTCAAAGTTCAGATGGTAGGGGATGTTGACCAGGAAGATTATAAATTTTGACTATAACCTATTTAAGAAGCATTTGGTTCTTAAGAAGGGAGAAACTATTTACAAGTAAAACCAACATAATCTTGCCTAAGACATGGTTTTGTGTCTTTACTTCAGGTTCCTTCATTTTGCGAAAAGGAAAGGGTGTTGCAGGAAAGAGAGTGGGGCACGAGAGGATGGCCACGTCCCAGGTCTCAGGTGAGTCCCGAGATGGCCACCAAGTGTGGATTCTTGGCTTCGTGCAAGAAAGAATTCAAGAATGAGCCACAGTAAAGAGAAAGAAGACTCATTCAGGGAGAAACACACTCCACAGACAGAATGTGGGCCATCTCGGAAGGTGAGAAAGGCACCATGATATGGGGTTGTCAGTTTTTATAGGGGTGGGTAATTTCATAGGCTAATGAGTGGGAGGAGTATTCTAGCTATTTGGGGGAAGGAGTGAGGATTTCCAGGAATTGGGCCACCACCCACTTTCGACCTTTTGTGGTTGGCCTTGGAACTGTCATGGTGCCTGTAACTGTGTCATTTAGCTTGTTGATGTGTTACATTGAGCGTATACTGAGGCTCAAGGTCTAGTGGAAGTCTGGGACCTATTTGGCTCTAATCAGTTTATGTCTTGTCCTCAGGCTATGTCTTTCTTTCAAAGGTTGTGCCCTTGCCCCCTTCCTGTCTCAAGGGGAGGAAAGCATAATGACTAAGTAACTCGGGAAGAGTGACCCCCAAAACAGTACAAGCGAATTGTTCTTCCCTTGACTAGTGTTTGACAAGAATCCTAGAAACCAGGAAAATTTCCTTACTGTATTAAATTCAGACCCTTAACAATCAGAATAATTAACCTGAGTATCATGAGATGGTTGAGTAAAGCCCCCTAATCTCCTTTATATAATCACCTATAAAAAACAGAATGGCATTTTGGGTAAGCCAGAATACCTGCAACATAAATTTAAATACACCTGTATTAGATCCAGTACCTAATATCATCACTAACATCTATATTCTATTTTTCATTCAATAAATATTTATGAATTCCCTACCATATGCCAGACACTGAGGATACAGTATTTACAAGACAGATATGATCCCTGACCCCATGGAACTCGCAGTCCCCTGGGAAAAACAGGCATTAAATAAATAATTGCATTTATTTTTACCTTTATAACTTTGTAAAAAATGAACAAATATTTTTTGAAGTTTTATGCTGGGTGTAGGAGATACAAAGATAGCTGTCTACAAGCAAGTTTATAGAACCCATAAGATCTGAAAATCCTATTTTAGAATATGGCATGGTGAAGGACTGAACATAAAGACCCTGATCCAATAGTTCTATGTCTAGGACTTGTCCTTATGTGTTAACATGAGATCTGGATTTTAAAAAAGAATTCCGTTGCATTATGGTTTAAGCCTCTTTAAGGCAATGTAACTAGAGGCAACAGTAAACTGATCATACTGCCCTCAGACAACATCGGAGGGACTATTTCTGAGTCATCAGACAAATACAATAAAAACATATCCCTTTCAAGTCCATCTCTCTAAAAATAGACCAGGACAGTCTCAAAGCACATATTCCTCCATTGATATGTACTTAGAACTTTTAGATTTCTGGTCCCAATTTTGGAACTATATGGTCATTCATTGCACCTATTAGCTGACAATCATTATTTCAAGAAATCCAAACGCCAGAACTGGTAATGGTCCTACTAGGACTGCAGTGATGTGAGGTATAATATTTTTATGTAATAATTTTAATCATAAATAACCTAAAAATTCACTCTGGGCTCCTCCAATTAAAAGAAAAGTATAAAACTCAAATAATATTTCCTAAAACATTCCATGGTCTCCCAAATTTGGAAATGTGTATTTAAATAAAATTAAAAAATTTAAACAAATGTTCCATGGAATGCTTTTGTTAAAAATTGGTGGAATCAAGAGAGAAAAGTGATATATGCATAGTGTGCCAATAAACTGGCTTTCTGAAAACAGAAACAAAGACGAAATTCTGATTTGAAGTTTTTGTTGACTTTTTTAGTATGAGTACTCGCACCATGGCCAACTTCAAGCTACCAACCTGAAATTGCAGAATGTACAGTTGTGGAGAGATGTGCACAATCAGCTCAAGAGCCTGGGTAAGCCAGCTCCAGCACCCACTGGCTGTTCCTGAGGGAAAAAATAAATATTAATTTATTTTCTGTCAAAGAGGCCAAAGACTCCATCTTTTCTGATGTAGTTCCTAGAATATCCAATTTGGGGAATTGAACTTAATGTTGGTTCTAATACTATATAAAACTAAAGATTCCTTTTATAAACCTTTTCAATGCTGCACACTTTGATGTGATTTAGGTTTAAACATAGCAACCAATTTTCCCTAATGAGAAATATAGATAAAGATGTGAATGTTTATTAGTAAGACAGTGACATTAAAAAGATTTGTGCTACTTGGCAGTAAAAGCATTTCTATTCCTTTGGTTGAAGTAAATTTATAGCACTCTCCATGACTGTCCACCAGATGGCAGACATTTCACAGCAACTTTACAAATAAGGCACATCTGCATTTCTGCAAGGCTGAACAATAATTTTTGAAGATGCTAAAGGAAATAACGAGCACATTTGGATAAACAGCAATACATGCAGGAGCACATTTGCAACTTGGATTATACTCTTATTTTTCCCCTCTGTTTGGGGTTCCAGAGGGTATTATCCAACTGATCTTTCCTGATATTTTCATTCACGGAAACCTCTGAACTTGGCTAAAACGAAACTTTTGATCTTTCCCTCGCCTCCAATTCCACTTCTCTTTCAGCCTTTTTTTCCAGCTGCTCTTTCCAGAAACCTGGAAATCATCCTTGATAATTTCACTTTTGTTATCTTCCATATCTAATCTGGCATCAAATTCTATTGATTCTTATCTATCTTATCTATCTATAGCCTCCTAACTCATCTTCTTTCTTCTTTCCTCTACATAACAGAAACAGCATTGTTTTTAATATGTAAATCAGAACATGTTAGTCTCCTCTTTTTTTTTTTTTTTTTTTTGCCGTATGAGGGCCTCTCCCTGTTGTGGCCTCTCCCGTTGCGGAGCACAGGCTCTGGACGCGCAGGCTCAGCGGCCATGGCTCACGGGCCCAGCCGCTCCACGGCACATGGGATCTTCCCGGTCCGGGGCACGAACCCGTGTCCCCTGCATCGGCAGGTGGACTCTCAACCACGCACCACCAGGGAAGCCCGTTATTCTCCTTTTTAAATCCTTCAATGGCTTAAATAATAATTTTTTCTTTAACTATTGACTTATTTTCCTTTAAAGTAATTTACTTTTTACTTATTGTAGTAAAGTCTCAGAATGAACTAGTAAATGTGAGCAGATAAAAGGCAAAGCAATAAACTACAAAATCCCACTACTTGGGATACAGCTACTTGGTTCTGTGGTGTAGTGCAGATGCTCCCAACAGAAAATAAGTTGTTACTTCATTGCCCTCAGGGTCATAATCTACATGCCACCTACTACAGGAAAATTATCTGCTTGTCTACCTCAGGGAGATGAAAGGCAGATCTTAAGATCCTATTTCGAAGGATATAAAATCTCTTGAGAGAAACTGTGATAGGAAATTTGATATGATGGTTAGATCTGAAGACAATAATATTAAGTGCTTCTGATTAGAAAATGTTGAGATAAATCTGCTTCAGCCCCTTGGGAGGATTCTTCAATGTTTTGGCTATCTACAGCTATGTAACAAACGTGCCTCAACTCAGTAGCATGGAATAATTGTTTATATTTTATTATTATCTCTCATAGTGTTGGGGGCTGACTGGGTCCGGCTAAGCCTAGTCTCCTGGGGTTGCAGTCAGACTGGCTGGGGCTGGAGTCATCTTGAGGCTTCCTCATCCACATGCGTGTAGAAGGATGTGGGCTGTTGGCCGGGACCTCAGCAGGGGCTTTTGGCTGGAACATGTATGCATGGCCTTTCTTTGTGGCCTGGGCTTCCTCAAAATAACTGACTGATGTGGGCACATAAAGGTCTAGCCATCTTGGCCCAACCTGGGACAGCTCTGGAGAGTCATTCCAGCTCCAGAGCTCCCTGTGGCATCAGCCAAGGCTGTCATCAGGACTGCATCACAGTTCGACTTCTCCCTCTGTCCACTCCAGCTTCCTTCCCTACCCTTCTCTTCCATTACACAGCTGCTAATCCCAAGGTACTCCTTAACGAACATCATGCACACTCACTCAGTCTTCAAGTCAGTTCCTGGGGAACCCAGCTTGCAACAACACCGGGACTGTAAACACAGTAAGGAAGGCTAGCTGGTGAGAGCTAAATGAGCTGTAACCATATGACGGCAGTCAGTGTTGGTGCCAGAACTTCCATCTGGGGACATGGGGAGCAGTATTGTCTTTTGTGTACTTGTGTGTGTTTGAATATATGGGGGGTTGGGGGGAAGGGAATTCACTTTGGGGACTTATTTCGAAGTTGCTTATCTAGAAGTATACTATAACTTAGATTGTATGTTTATTTGTACGGCTTATCTGGGCAGCTGATGGAGATGTAGGGATGAGAAGAAAAGTCCCTGCATGCACATACACATCCCCCCACCGCAGCTACTCTTAGGATGACCACCCAAGTTTGGCTGAAAGAGTTGAGACATTCTCCGGAAAGTCTTGTAAAGATCTGAGGCGCTTAGCATTGTTGTTGGTGTTTTGTGGCCAAAGGTAAGCAAGAGACTCGTTATGGTGAAGAACCAGAGCCTGCAGTGTCAGGGCTGGTGGAGGGCACAGGAATCAGTGCACTCACTGCTTAAACTAGGATCGTCCGGTAGGAAGATCCACTCGATCGCTTTAAGAAGCTTGTTGGAGACTGGGAATCAACCAAAACTCAGAGCTTCAAAACCCATTATCTCCCAAATATTAGCATGGCTTACTCCCTTCATTTTTTTTTTTTTTTTTTTAGATTTTTGTCAAGTGTCACCTTTTCAAAGAGGCTTCCTTGACCATTCACTCTATTTAAACTAGCACTTCTATCACTCTCTCCCTTTATACTGCTTTTATTTTCCTTTATGTTGCTTATGACCACCTGACATAAATTTATGCACTTTTTATTGACAATCTTTCTCACTAGAATATAGTCTGTAGAAGGGGAAAGAATTTGTCTATTTTGTTGATTACTGTATACCAAGAACCAGACAATAGCAAGAACTTAATAGGTATTTGTTGATTGAAAGAATAAATGGGCATTTTCTTGAGTAATCAAAATTTTTCCAATTCTCTATCTTCTGGTAGAAATTCCAAACTCCCCCAGAGATGGAAAGCATAGGCAACAGCAACTTTTTACTGAATGTTTCCTAAATGACTTTTATTTCATATTTGCGAACTTAACAAAAGAGAGTACTATGATAAAATAGGTAGAAGAAAATAGATCATTCGGGTAAAAATCAAATATCCATACTCATCCTTGGGTAAATTGAAAAGTGCTGCTTCTCCCCTGGTTCTCTCCTTGGCTCTTCTCATAAAACAAAATAAGGCCATAGCTTCTCAGTGCTTATAAGCTTGAAAACACACTTTCAACTTTTTAGTGGAGATTTTGTTTGACTCAGAATTACATTTAGCACATGAACTTGTTTCTTCCAAATAAATTAGTTGAAATGGAAACATTTCAGTGCTGTCAGTGCTGTCCTGAAAACACCAACTGTCACAAACAGGTGCTGATAATGAGCCTGAAATGTATTGATACAGAGTACATTATATTTACAATATAATAGGGTGACTTTACCTATGAAATATATAAATGCAATCACCTGGGATAGAATCATTTTTCAAGAATTTGCCTATGAGTTGGAGAGGCATCCTCCAGAGTCCTGGGAACTGCCCTCTTTCTCCATATTCTGGAAATTTGGGGCTTACATTCTCAATCCATATAAAGATATATTCTTCCTAAACTTGAACACTCTTCCCCTCTCTCATCCTGGGGACCAAAGTAAGCCAATGAGACTTATTCCCTGGAGATTTGGAACTGGGACCGAAGATTTCAACTGTCTTAAATTCTAGGGAGGGAGTTGTTGATGGTGATATTTTCTGCCCCATGGTCTGGAGAACAGAGATAGCCAGTATGCAGGAGCAAAGAAAGATGGAGATCTGAAGGGGAAGCAGAGACTTAGGATGGAGAGCCTCTCCTGATTTCCCAGTGGTGCTTGAGCCCTGGTTCCAGTTGACTATCAGGGTCCTGCTACATCTCTGCCCTTGGGTTCTGTGAGACAATTTAATTCCTCACAGCAAGTTCCTTTCTTCCCCCTTTGTGTAGCTTAGTTGGCTCTCTATCAGTTGCCACCAAAGATTCTAACAAACATGCTTTTTAAAAGTAAGTTTTAGGCCTTGCCATTTTCTCTCTAACTGCCCCCGATTTTTCAGAAAAACAAAGAGGAAAAGAGGTTCTTTCTTCTCTTACAGAGAAGCAGACACTGTTCAATAACATGAAGGTTAGGGTTAGGGTTTCTGTTTGTATGTTTGTTTGTTTGGCCACTACATGTGGCTTGCGGAATCTTAGTTCCCTGACTAAGGATTGAACCTGCATCCTCAGCAGTGAAAGCATGGAGTTCTAACCACTGGACCACCAGGGAATTCCCAAGGTATTTCTGATAAAGGGTTGAATCTAGGATGTTCACAAAAGTACCAGTCTTACTTTCCTGTTCAGTCTGGAGACACCTGTAAAAATATATAAACTTGAGGAGAAATTGCTGCTGTGTCCTTTGAAAAGTTCCCTATGACCTTCACCAGCCTGCAGTTCTAATTGGTTATCCTAATAATTTGCTCCCTAGTAATTATTTATTTATTTTTGCGGTACGAGGGCTTCTCACTGCTGTGGCCTCTCCCATTGCGGAGCACAGGCTCCGGATGCGCAGGCCCAGCGGCCATGGCTCACGGGCCCAGACGCTCCGCGGCACGTGGGATCCCCCCGGACCGGGGCACGAACCCGCGTCCCCCACATCGGCAGGCAGACTCTCAACCACTGCACCACCAGGGAAGCCCCCTAGTAATTATTTTAAAACTGACATCTCTACTTTTTAAAAGGTAACTAAGTATTTATGACGTTTCTTTGTTAAGCCGGGAGAAGAGTTTTAGAATGTCCTTTTTTCTCCCTTTGTGCACAAATGAATAGCACACCTCTGACTTTTCTCACTCAAACAAATAGCTGAGAGCTTTTGTCTCATTAACTGGGACTAGTCAAGGTTGCAACTACTTCCTATTTTAAACCCATTCTTATCACTAACATCCAGTTTATTTTAATACTGGGGAAAATATTTGAATCCCATGGGTCTTTATTTCCTATTATTTCCCAAACAATACTAAAAGATGAGGGTTTTCATTTCTGTAATGTAAACTTACTGCTTATCAGGATCCTAGGGGCTGAGCATGAGTGCTACTTGAAGAGAAAATAATTTGGTATTTGAGGTCTCTTAGGGAAGCAGAAAACGCTCTGTAGAATCATTTTGTGAGGAAAACAAACCCACTTTTTGTTGCATGTCCAAATAATATTTATCTTATCTGGTGTGCTTGAGTGGTGTCTCCCAGATTTTAGAGGTCTGCTTGGTTCCAGGGTTGTTTGATACATAGCCCAGGTCTGAGCAACACAAAGTGAGAAAGGGGACTAACAAGTTGCTGGTGAATTGGAACCTTGTATCTTTGATGAAATTAGGCCAGGGTATCCCTTAAACTAAAGATGCCTAGGATTTCCTCAAATGTTTGTTTTTTTTGCCATGTTTGTGCAAAAAAATGGGCTTTGCTTTCTCTCTTCTTCATTACTCTTGGTCCATACTGAGTCACCTACCTATCACATTTCTGCCAGGCAATTAAAGCACAAGATATTGTAATATATGTGGGGAAATCTTGGTTTACACATTATATACACAAAGGTAATCTGATTCACAAGCTCTAATTTCTTCATTGTCTTCCAATCCATATAGAGAACTCTCTTTACTTTTCCTGATTTCTTAGGAAGTGAGATTTCTTTCCTTCATTGTTTTTCTAAGTTAACTTTTGCGTTCAGAATGAAGTTATTTTACGGCAGCTTGTAACCTCCTATATATTTATATTCTTTTAGTCTCTCACTCATTGAAGCTTCTCATAACTAGTCCCTCATTTGCCCGGGCATGCAGGCTCTGGACAATTCCCTTGATTTTTTCCTTTATAAAAACAATTTTCCATTTGTTGGATTCTCAAGGCCACGTTGCTAGTAGATGAGAAAGCCAGAATTCAAAACCAGGCTGTCTCTTTCTTGAGCCTGGAATCAGTCAGTGTAGTATATTTACTGAAGAATGGACATGGGATGGGGATGAAGCATAGGACTGAGGATAGGAGAGAGGTTCCAGTACCCTTGTTCCAAACACCAGTCCAAGGCTCCTCATGGAGTGGGTAGGGTACCATAGGCATATCAATTCCAAATCTCTATACTTTCTTCTTGTACACATTTAGGTCCTCATGAAAATAGAATTTTTAGGTAACCTATTTTTCCAAAGTTCCAAAAGTAAGGCATGCAGATTGATACCCACCTCCCAACCCGGCAAACACACTCAAGAACGTGTGTGTGTGTGCACGCGCACACACACACACACACGTCAATTCTCTATATGTAATTAGCACTTTAAAAACTTCCAATGTGCAAACTTCTGTCATTGTCAGTTCTTTCCCTCCCAGGTCTTCCCAGTTCCTGCTTATTTCTTCCAGTAATACTTACATACCTGTTTCAGTTACAATTGCTCTGTAAAAAACCACACCAACTTAGTGGGGTAAAACAACAATCATTTTATTATTTCTTAAGGTTTCTGTGAGTCAGCCTGAAGGACTCTCATGCTAGTGACATCAGACAGTGACTGAAGCTGTAGCAGCAGATCGGGGCAGGGAGCAAGGTGGACTGAAGCACCTAGGAGCTGGATGGTCATCTCTCCTTCTTCAAGTAGTTTCAGGGCAGCGGCTGCCACAAGTAAGTGCTCAGTAAATGGTAGCTCTGAAAATTATTAGCTCCATGGAAAAAACCAAAGTGGTTTTTAAAAAATATTTATTTATTTACTTATTTGGTTACATTGGGTCTTAGTTGTGGCATGCGGGATCTTTTGTTGTGGCGCACAGGCTTAGTTGCCCCGCGGCATGTGGGACCTTAGCTCCCTGACAAGGGATTGAACCTGCATCCCCTGCATTGGAAGGCAGATTCTCAACCACTGGACCACCAGGGAAGTCCCCCCAAAGTGTCTGAAGATGGGATTTTTTTCTATCTCCACAGAAAATAATTGGGTAAATGTTACCCAGCTTGTGAACTTTTGTTTTTGTCGTTATTAATTAGCATTCATATAACTTAATGCTCTTAAATGGCCTGACAATAATTTATTTGTAAGTTTAATACCACTCCTGACAGAAGGTAGGTGCTACAACAATGCAGAAATAAGGAGAGCATAATTAAAAGAGCATATTAAAGATACAAGTAATTTGAATTCCTCAAATTATGAATCTGAACACTGAACTAAAACCGTGGGCTGATGGTGGAGGGAGATATTCTTCTTCCAGCCTTACTGGCTACTGTGACATTCCCTCACCTGTTGTACATGGATATCCCTTCAGAGAAGGCCTGGAATTGCTTCGTTTCCACCTAAGAATTTTACAATATTCATCTAGTGTCTTCAAATCTTTACAAGGTATTACATGCTGTCTCAAAGATTTATAAGTGCTGTTGACTGAATGTTTGTGTTCCCTCCAAAATCCATATGTTGAAGCCCTAATCCCCAATGTGATGGCATTGGAGATGGGGCCTTTGGGAGGTAATTAGGTTTAGATGAGGTAATGAGGTGGGGTTCTCATGATGGGATTAGTGCCCTTATACGAAGAGGTCAGAGAGTTACTAGCCTCCCCATATGAGGATACGACAAGAAGGCAACCATCTGAAAATCAAGAAGAGGGACCTTTCTAGATACCAAATCTGCCAGCACCTTGATCTTGAACTTCCCAGCCTCTAGAACTGTGAAAATAAATGTCTGTTGTTTAAGCCACCTAGTCTATGGTATTTTAACTGCCCAAATTGACTAAGACAATAAGGAAATTAAATATTTAGATTTAGAAATGCATTTTCCCATAGAAAACTTGATTTAAATAATAATTCACTTCTGAGGGGAGGCCACTAACTGAATTCATAATGTAGTTGAAATAGCAAATATTTTTAAATGAAAAGGCAGTGTTTTAAAAACTGTTGGAATATTGTTTTTCAACAAAACAGGAAAAATAGGCATTAGTCTGTGGCTCAGGAGCCCTGGGTTCAGTCTTCTTCTCTCTACTGTCTGGCTATGTGAATCTAACCAGGTCATTTTACCTCTCCAGCCCTCAATTTCTTCATTTTGTAAAATTAAAGAGTAAAGGAGGTTGCAATAAAAGCATACTTTAAAAAATGTTCTTCCCATTCCTATACCCTCTAAAAGGAACTGAAAGAAGCTAGTTAGAGAGGGAGACTCTATCTACACTGAGACTAAGAAAGACCCTAACCTCATATACAAACTGTAAAGAACTTTATCCACAAAGAGCATCACTAGAAGTAAGCTAGCCGAGAAGCCAGGTTCTGTTGCTCCTGGACAAATGCAAACTATGGAGATGAGACTGAGGCACTTCTAATCCTACCCAGTTTAGGGGAATGAGGGCTTCAAAGGATGAGTGGGGTTCAGAAAAGATAGCAGACTTCCTGCTTTGAGTCATTCCCTGCTAAAAGTCTCCAGGAGGTAATGGCATGTCCAGAAATTCTATTTAGGGTAAATTAGAGGCTGCAGACTGGTTAGAAGAGAAACCGTAAAGCTGATTTTGCAAAGCACTGTATATCAGTCAGACTGAGGGAATGTCAAAGGTCAACATCAAAGAATTGGGGAGGGGGACATCGATGAAATTGTGGGACCAGGGTACTTCAGCTCTGCCATTGCCAAAAATAATGAGACAGGAGGAGGAAAGCTTGAATAAAGGAGAAATTTATTATTATTTTTTCTTCTTAGAAACTACTTGGAGGGTAGTAGAGGGAAAACATTGAAGACCCAAGCTCAGAGCAACTGACAGCTGTGCCATCCTTTCTGTCTCACTTGGTGTCCTTAGGGAATTAGGATCACGGAAGTCTCAAAGTTAACCTATCTTGTAGTTTATTCTTGTCTAATGACTGGACGGAGAGTTTTGCAGGTTTTGACAGGGCTCAACAAAATAATTCTTACTGGTAAAGGCAAAGAGTGAAACCAGAGTTCCAGCCCCATCAGGGTTACCACTTTGGCAACTGGTATGAGCAATAGCACAGCTGTTACTCTCTTTGTGTGCAGTGGATGGATGCGTGTGAGACCTCTGGACACCCAGCTGAAACTTTGGTTACTCTGACGAAACCACAGCTCTGACTGAAAAGAAAGATGAAGACCCACTAGAGCTAACCAATGAGAATGTAACCTACTCTGGGAGGTCTACATGAACATCCTTGAGGCCCCAGGTCCACCTGGAGAGTCATCTTGAGCTTTGAGCAGAAAACCAACACCTCTGACAAGAAATTGAAGCTGATTAAGAACTATCGGGAAAAAGTAGAGTCTGAACTGAGATCCATCTGCACCACTGACCTGAGATTGTTGGATAAGTACATAATAGCCAGTGCAGCTAATCCAGAAAGTAGTCTTTTATCTGAAAATGGAGACGACTTCCAGTACCTCTCTTGCTTAAGTTGATGATCAAAAACAAACTATAGACAATTCCCAAGGAGCTTACCAAAAGGTATTAGATATAAACATGAAAGAGATGCAATCTACACACCCAATCCACCTTGGACTGGCTCTGAGCTTTTCTATACTTTACTCTGAGATCCTAAATAACCCAGAGCTTGCCTACACACTGGCTAAAACGACTTTTGATGAAGCCATCATAGAACTTGATGCACTGAATGAAGACTCATACAGAAATATCCTTATCATGCAGTAGCTTAGAGACAACCTAACACTATGGACATCAGACAATGCAGGAGAAGAGAGTGACGTCAGAAGACGCAGAAAGCTAAATGTATACAGAGTGTCATCATTTTTTCCTTCAAGAAAACTTTTTACCCATCTCCATTCCTCATTCCACGTGGATTCTCTGTAGCAAAGAAACCCATTCAGTGTATAGGATCAAAGGTTTGAAATTTTACAATGTATGGACAACATTTCTTAGAGTAAGTGTTTTACTTACATAGATCAATCTCATAACCGTCTCTTCCTCAGATGTAAATGACAGCTTTAAGTGTTATATAGAATAAAATGGACATTTTAAAACTAGGAAGGGACTTTCCTGGTGGTCCAGTGGCTGAGACTCTGCACTCTCAATGCAGGGGGCCTGGGTTTGATCCTTGGTCAGGGAACTAGATCCCACAAGCCACAACTAAGACTCAGTGCAGGCAAATAAATTTTTTTTTAAATTGGAAAAAATGGAATGTAGGACAGAATTCCACTGACATAGGACTCCTAGAAGGAGAATAAGATTATAGGGAAGGTACTGAGTCAGAGGGTTCCCTCTGCTGGTCAACAGGTGGCAATAGAGTAGCTTGGATGCCAACTGAAACAAAAGGCAGAAATAAATATTCAGAATAAAGGCAGTCTTTGGGAGAATGTATGGGGAAAGAGTGTGACTGGTTGTTTATATCTGAATATGTCTTATCTCTCTAAACTGTTCATTGCTTGAAGTACAACTAAAAGTTGTACTGAACCTTTTTGTGCCTTGTTTCCTCCCTGTAAAATGGATACAAAAGTGATGCCTGAGAAGGCAGAGAGCAGAAGCAAGAACTACAGTCCTGCAGCCTGTGGAACAGAAACCACATTCACAGAAAGATAGACAAGATGAAAAGGCAGAGGGATAAGTACCAGATGAAGGAACAAGATAAAACCAAAGAAAAACAACTAAAAGAAGTGGAGATAGGCAACCTTCCAGAAAAAGAATTCAGAATAATGATAGTGAAGATGATCCAGGACCTCGGGAAAAGAATGGAGGCAAAGATCGAGAAGATGAAAGAAATGTTTAACAAAGACCTACAAGAATTAAAGAACAAACAAACAGAGATGAACAATACAATAACTGAAATGAAAACTACACTAGAAGGAATCAATAGCAGAATAACTGAGGCAGAAGAACGGATAAGTGACCTGGAAGACAGAATGGTAGAATTCACGGCTGTGGAACAGAATAAAGAAAAAAGAAGGAAAAGCAATGAAGACAGCCTAAGAGACCTCTGGGAAAACATTAAACACAACAACATTCACATAATAGGGGTCCCAGAAGGAGAAGAGAGAGAGAAAGGACCAGAGAAAATATTTGAAGAGATTAGAGTCAAAAACTTCCCTAACATGGGAAAGGAAATAGCCACCCAAATCCAGGAAGCGCAGTGAGTCCCATACCAGATAAACCCAAGGAGAAACACGCCGAGACACATAGTAATCAAATTGGCAAAAATTAAAGACAAAGAAAAATTATTGAAAGCAGCAAGGGAAAAATGACAAATAACATACAAGGGAACTCCCATAAGGTTAACAGCTGATTTCTCAGCAGAAACTCTACAAGCCAGAAGGGAGTGATACACTTAAGTATATAATGATAAAAATGATATACTTAAAGTGATGAAAATGAAGAACCTACAACCAAGATTACTCTACCCAGCAAGGATCTCATTCAGATTCAATAGAGAAATCAAAAGCTTTACAGACAAGCAAAAGCTAAGAGAATTCAGCACCACCAAACCAGCTCTACAACAAATGCTAAAGGAACTGCTCTAAGTGGGAAACACAAGAGAAGAAAAGGACCTACACAAACAAACTCAAAACAATTAAGAAAATGGTCATAGGAACATACATATTGATAATTACCTTAAACGTGAATGGCTTAAATGCTCTAACCAAAAGACACAGGTTTCCTGAATGGATACAAAAACAAGACCCATATATGTGCTGTCTACAAGAGACCCAC